AACAACCCTTTCCAACAAGCATATAGGTTCTACTTTAGAATCCAATAGGTAACTGAGGCTCAAGAATTCCACAACTGACTCCCGAGGAGATCAGGTGGACCGTTTGCCACTCTTCTGGCAGGAAGGTCTGCTGGTATTTACAGCTCAGTGCACAGTAAGGAGGGAGACAGCACCATCCATCAGGAAAAGAGAACTCATCTGCTACTTGATCTGACATTCCGTTCACGCTCTTGCTGTCTCCGGAGAGCAAGGTGCATCCATTTGAATAAACAGAGATGGGAGGAAGGGAGGGAGGCAAAGCAGCCATCGAGATGACTGCAGAAATAACAAGTCTACAAATCTAGAAGAGTGGTTCTCAGTGGAATACTACCCCAACGTGCGACCCTGCAGGCAAGTGTGGGAAATGTCCTTTTAGACGGCTGCACTTTCATGGAGTAATGGCTGCAGGTTGCTATTCACCTCCATTAATGCCTAATGCCTGTCATTTAGTAGGTGCTGAAGAGCACTGTGCTGAAAGAATGCAAGCTTGACCACTTCTCAGCCTTTTGGCTAAGATCAAGTGAAGGATGTAAGCTTGCCCTGAACCCATACCAAACAGTAGATACCCTAATTACAAAGTCAGGGTCAGCTGGGAGGAAAAAACCATCAGCTTTTTGGTGACAGGTGACCTTTTAAGACAGCCTTTCCTGACAGGATAGGGTCTGTTCTCTGAATCACATCCCACTTGTCAGGCTGGAATATTTGTATGAGCAGTAACGTCTTCATCAGGCATATTCTTAAATTTGTTTTAAAATGGCACTAAGCAGGTACTGTGGGAATGAACGCACAACCAAAGTGCTCGATTTTTATGGTGCCCGTTTTGGCAAAGACTAGCAGCTAGCATGCAATGCCTCAAGGCCACCTTTGAACTCCCTTTCTAAAAATTCCACTTAATGCTCCAGAGACAGATAGCCTGAACTCAACATTACAGAAAACTCAACACCTCGAATGAGGGCAAATTGTAGCTCCCAGAGCAACTCCACAGTTCATTTTACATTTTCACCAGGTACATGGTCCAAGTGGGTGCCACTATTTGTTCAGAACTGGGAAATCACTTAAAGTGATATTCTGTCAATTCTATACCTCATAAAATTACAACTCGTTAAGGGATTTCTTTGTAAGGGTTTGGTAATTAAATAAAATTGACAGTTCTTTAAAAAATTTCTGATTAGTCTGAATAACTCAGAGTCTTATTGATTGACTATAAAATGATGAGGCTGTATCACAGGTGAGGTCACGACCCCCTAACAAGCAAAATTATTTAAAATGCCATGCAAAAAAAGAGTCACTGGTTACTCACACATGGTATGTATAAAATTACATTTGTGCTATCTCAATTATCAGTTTATTTCTCAGTACTGAAATGTTTTGGATTGTCTGACAGAGCTCCCTCACACGAATTCACAGTCACACACACAAGGGGGAAAAAAACCCCAAAACACTATTGTTCAAATAAAAATTTTAATATAAGTACTGAGAATCAGGCTTTTCAAATGACACTCTAAAACTGTGGTATCTCTTAAGCAGATGCACGTTTCCCCTTACAACACGTATCAAGCAGAAGAACTTTATGTCAGTATCTCTGCAATGTTCCTAGGCTGATGAAGATGTTACCCCTTTGTTCTAAATAGCAACTGCCAGCCGGTCCTTTATCATTTAACCTCAGTTACTATAGGAATATACAGAAGCCTGTTTCTTCTAATTAGCACACCACAACAAGGATGAGAACACAGGCTCAATGGAATGACTCTTTACTCTTCTGGAAATGCTAAATAAAAGAAGTTTTATTCAGTGATGTCTGAATATCCATATTCTTCCTCTCTATCCAATGTGCTGAGCTCTTAAGACTACAGCCCCCCATTAGGAAATCATTGGGTTATCATAGGGTATAACCTAAAGAGGGCTCTCTGTTGAATGTCATCTGTCCAGGTGAAACAACACAGCTTCCTAATTAACCAGTACATATGGCCTGATAGGTTGGTCACCAATCGTACTGCACAAGGAAGTTGGAAACTGCTTTCTATAAATGCCACCTAGATTTTCGGGCCTGGCCCCATCCACAGAATTCTCCTGACTTAAAGTGACTCTCAGTCAAGTGGCCATCTCAAAAACCATATCTGCAAGGGAGGACTCAAAAAAATTTGTTACTAGGATACAGTGACACCAATCCCACATTTTGTGGTTAATAAAACAAGTCCTGTATTCAGCTTGGCACAAGGCCCTGATCTGATGTATTTCAAGCCAAGCTGGAGGGCTCACAGGGAAAGCTGCCATTCATGAATGCTTCAGGAGGACAGGACGCCAGGGTCCCTTGTGCCAAACAGGGACCAGAAACCTTTGTGATGGACCTTTTGAACAGACCTACCCTACTTCCTAAAGAGAGCTGGTGTATTGTGCTTTAAAAAAAATTGTTTTACCTACAAAATCTGTTTTTCCTGACATTTTTCTTGAAAAAGGTGTCCTGTAAGGGTGAAAAAAAAAAAAAAAAAGAAAAAAAGAAGTAAAGGGAAAAAGAAGAAATGCTCTGACTTCTGATTTAACAATCTCAAACATCACTCACTTCATTTTCCCCCCTCCTCTGTGTAACCAAATGCAAGACACATAGGACTTTCCTGGGGAAGTCTACATCCAGCCTTCATTTAAGATTTCCTGCCCAGTACATAATCAGGAATTTTCATCCTAAAGTGGCACACCTATTTCCTCAGAGCGCTCAGCTCTCTTTGAATAAAAAAAGGCAAGGCACCCCTTTGGGGGATTCAGTATATATTTTTAAACTTCTCATTAAATCAACCTAATTTATGGGGCATGTTTAGCGAAGGCAGTTGCTTTGGCGGATGAAAAGTTAATTTGCAGACTCTGGCCTGTTCCCCTCCTTCCTCCCCTCCGGCGCCCTCCCCTCCCCCGAGCATTTCCGAATGCGTTCGACCCCCTCCGAAGCGGCTCGGCTCTCTCCGCCAGGACACCGACTCGGCTCCGAACACCGCCGACTCCCTTCGAGCCCCGCGCCCAGACCGCACCGAGCCTAGCCGAGCGTCGCCGAACTGAGCCCCATCGACTTTTCCGGCCTCGGCTGGGCGCTGTCCACCACTTGCAACGCCTGAAACCTCATCCAGCTCAGGTGGCTGGGGCTTCTACCGGGCTCTGAGTCAGCCACTGCTGATTACAGACTTCTGAAGTTTTAAAACGTCCCCCCTCGAGAGAAAGGGGTGGCGCGGCTTGCATTTACAGATCTGCAAGGGCTCCAGACAGATGCAACATGCACCTTGTTGCAAAGAGCAATTCCCGAGGCCCCGCCTCCCCATCAATTTGGGTTGCACAAGCTCAAGAGAAGCCCCAAGCTAAATTACCCTTGGCTCAGAAGGGTGCGGCGAGCCGAGGGGGCCTCTGCGAAGAAAGCCCCAGGGAGCTCTCGAACAAAAATAAGAACATGTCAAGCAGATGGGAAAATTGTCTCCGAGTCGCTACTCCCTACCATCATGGCGCCGCCTAGAACCCGCTTGTCATGCCTGTTACACATGCAAGATTTTCTGCATCTTGGTTCTGAAACCGCAAGCGTGCTTCGTCTCCCACTCCCATTCCCACCTTCCCACGAAAGGGGTTTTTATTTTCCATTGTTTCCCTACGCGATGCAATTACTTCGGCTATTCTGTCAAGTTGAAAAATAATCATTTTTGTTTACTGCACAGCAACCCCTAATTAGGAGCTATGTGTGCACGAAGGTGTCACAGCAAAGCGACGTGGAATCTTCGCTAAACGGTCTTAACGAACTCTCCGTCTCGAACTGACAGGCCAACGGAAGTTGGAGGCCCGGAGGGCGCACACCCCTTCGCTGCCGGCCACCCCCTCCCCAAGCAAAGCTGCCTGTGGGCTCACCAGGAACTGCCGAGTGGATAGCGCAAGAAGCGAGCCTGCAAGTGGAAAGGAGGGGCAAGGCTCCTTATTGAGAAAGTGTGGAAGGGAAGGAATATCCCATTTTGTTTTAATTTTCAACCATCACTCAAATCCACCCCCAGTTAATTAGGAGGGGAAACTGATAGCTAAGGCAGAAGGGGGCGGCGGCAAGTGGGGCCTGAAATCCGCATTGTGGGTAGATTACATGGAACACGGCCTATGCAGAGTGTAAAAAAATACATTGATAAAGGCCACGGAGCGAACGAAAACTGCGGGTGTCAGGACAGCAATGCTGGGAGGGTGGGGAGGAGAGGAGCTGGGAGCAGTAAGGGGCGGACATTCAGCCTCACAGGCAGCTTCCCTCCCCCTTCCACCTCTACCTTGGATAAAACTGTGCCCGTCACGTACGCTTGGAAACCCACTTCTTCCCCTAGCACACGACCCCTCCCCTAACCCTGGCCCTCTTTTTCTGGGGCCGGGGCGGGGGGGTGCGAGGGTATGTAGAAACCACAGCCTCCAATTCAGCACCAAATGCATGAACAGCAGACGCTTGATCCTCCACCCCAGTCTAGGGCTGGGTCCCCTCCATGTTAGCCAAGTTCAAAATCACTGCCCCAGGAGAAGAGCAGGGGAAGTGGGATTACGGACCTCGGGGGATACGGAGGTATGGAGGGAAGAGGAGAGAGAAATAGAGACAGAATGAAACAGAGACACAGACAGAAATGGAGGCAGTGAGACACAAAAAATATTCCACAAGCAAGAGTAATGATCATAATCATGCCAATAATGTGATGTTCTGATCAATATGGCGGACACTGTCATTCATACAACTACAGGCGCTCCCCTTCCCCCTCCCAAAAAACACCCACCCAGGAGTTGGGGTGGAGGACCCAGAACCAACGTAGGGAGTGGGGGAGGGGAGTCAAATATAGGGGTGTGTGTGTGTATGTGTGTGTGTGCACGAATTAAAAAACAGGCCTGGAGAGCAATGTGGAGTAAGCAAGGTAATAAAAACGATTTTAAAAATTACTCTTATTAAAAGTACAAATCCCAGTGCCACAGGGACTTACTTCATCTGCTTCACAATGGTGCTTTTTCCTGATTCTCCAGCCCCTGTTGGGACACAGACAGTGGGGAAAAACTGGTGAGTGTCAGCTTAAGGGAACGGGGGAGGGGGGACTAAGGCATGCGAGGGGGTGGGCGATCCTGGGCACATGGTGGTGCCAACTTGGGGACCAGGTCTCCCGGGCGCGGGTGGGGTGGGGGAGCTGGCGGCAGGGGGTGCGGAGTGGCCGGGGTCGGGGGATGGGGGTAGCAGCGGCGGTCCTTACCCAGCAGGAGTAATTTCACGTCTTTGGCGGCGCTGATGCCATCCTCTTTGAGGTTTTTCTCAATCGCCTTGCTCCGCTCGAGGGCGGCTCTCTCCTCTGCGCTCAGAGTACATCCCATGGTGGCCCCTTCCCTGCCACAGCCCGCACGACTCGGCTGGCACGGCTCCCCGGCTCGGAGCGCCCCCCACCCCCCCAGAGAGCAGAGCCTGGGCTCAAGGGGGGAAAATCACGATATCCTCTCCTGGGCTGGAAACAAAAATGTCGGGAAACCAGAACCCCCCAAAAAGCCAGCCGCTAACAAGATTCCAGCAGCGGAGACTCGCGGCAGCTGGCGGGGGTCTGGGGTTGTCGAACCGAGTGTGGCCGGGGTCTGGGGCTCCGCAGCCGAGGGAGGAGGCGCCCGCGGGCCGAGGAGGCGCGGGCTGCAGGCACTGAGGCTTGTGCACGACCCAAAATAAATAAAATAATAGTCGAGGCTGGAGCCGCAGCCGGAGCCGACGGAGGGTGGGGTGGGGGGCAGGGTGGGTCCTGCTGCCGCGGCTGCCGGAGGAGGAGGAGGCGGCGGCGGAGGAGGAGGAGGTGGAGGAGGCGGCGGCGGCGGCGCGGGATGTGGAGGGAGTGAGTTAGGGGGTGCTGCTAGTGCATGTGCATCGCCGCTCTTCAGCCGTCGGTGCGTCCGCGGCGCCTTCGCCGACCCCCGCGCGCAGGGCAGGGCTGGGCAGGGGGCCGGGCCGGGGGGCAGGTCTCTAGCGGGAGGCGGCGTCGCTGTCTCCCAGAGCTCGCATCGCTCGGTGAGCCTACCGGAGAGAGAGGGAGAGCGCCAGGGAGCCGCGACCAGCCGGGAGCTCGAGGGAGAGGGAGAGAGAGAGAGGCAGGGAGGGAGGGGAAAAAAATGGGAGAGCGAACGAGCGCGCGCGCGCCAGGGACCGGGCGGGGAGAGGAGGCGAGTGCAGCGCGCGAGTGCGCCAGCGGCTCTGCGCACCCGGCTCAGCGGGCCGCCCGCTGACGTCAGCAGGGCCGCGCGCCGGGCCCCCGGGACGGGAAAGGCGCGGGGCGGGGGAGGCGCGCGCCGGGGTTCGCGTCAGCCGTCGGCGGCGCGCACACGCGCTCGCGGAGCGGCCTGCCCCTCCCCACAGAGCCCTCCCAGCCAGCGGCTCCCCCGGGTGGGCGCGTGCGGGGCTGGCGGGGGCGGGGCGTGGGGCCGGGCGCGCGCCGGGGCCCACCCCGCCTCCGCCCCCGCCCCCGCCCCAAGCGCTGGCGGCGCGGACCTCCTTGTCAATGGGAGCGCGGGACCGGGCTGCCGGCACGGCGGTCAGGTGGGCCCCCCAGCTCGCTGCCAGCGCGGCCTCTGTCCCTCTCCGGCCGGCTCTCCATCTTGTCGCCCGCAGCCCGCCTTGTCAGTGGCTCTGCAGCCGCTGGGGCCGCAGAGCCGAGGCCGGGTTACCTCAGGAAACGCGATGTGGTAGTGGGTCGGAATAAACCCTCCCGCCCCAGAATTCGCCTTGGGGGCATGAGGACAGATTCGGCCTTTTCGCTTCCTGTGTCCACATTTATTGAGCACTTAGTATGTGGGAGCCGAGGCTGTAAGGAGAGGAACGGAGCGGGCGGAGAAAAGCCAGGGCCTTTTCTCCGGGAGCCGCTGCCTCCAGGGCCATCGCCGACCCTGCTCCGAGATCCCAGCCGCCGCTCTCCGTGCAGGAGGGGTGCCCACCCTTGGGGAGGCCTGGGTGCCCTGAGCGGAGGGACAGGGCTTCAAGCGACTGGGAGTTTCCAGCAAACCCCTGATCCCTGAGCAGTTTATTTTAAAAGCTTTTGCAAATGTTGGACGGTTTAGCTTGGTGGAGGCCGTCTTTGCACTAAATTCTCTTGTCCTCCCCCTTCGAAACACACAAAATGAATTTTGAATAGATTCTTGGATGAGAGATTTTCTTCCTTTTTTCATCTTCTGAAACATTTTCCCCTCATTTCTTCTAAAAAAACCCAGAAACCCGGGTCAGTTACTCGGTGTACAGCTAGTCAAATACTGAGAAAACTAGTCGATATTTGCCAAAGATTGGGCATGTTCTGGGTGGTCTCAGATTTTGAAGAAACAAATTTTTTACTGCACAAAATAGTTTTACAATCAGTTCCATCAGACAGCCCCAGGGGCTCTCCTAGGGAAAGGGGCCAATAGGCAAGGTTGCATGGGGATAAGAGAGGCAAGCGGCCAGTGGAAAACGTTTTTTTTTTTTTTTTCCTAACAGTTGGGCATTTCTGTGGCTCTGAAAGCAAACTTGTTTGTTTCATTTCAACCATAGAAAAAAAACCACTTCTGTTTTGGAAATGTAACCCAGCATAAAAATACATTTGCAATGGGGAAAAAGAAGGCAGTTTAGGGCCACCCAGAAGAAAATATTTTTTCCCCTGATTTTTTTTTTTTTAATTTGGTATTTCCCAGTGTGGGTTTGCCTCATTTTACAAATAGCTGCCTATGTCAAGTTGTGGGTATGTGATTTAAATATTTTAATTTGAATCACATTTTACATAGTCTAGGAAACTGACAAAGGAATCCTATAGAGAATTGTTTTCTAAAGTGAATAACTGCTTCTCTATCTACCCGCCCCCCTCATTCTTCTTTTCTGTGCGTGTTTTTTGGGGAATGTTAGGGGATAAATCTGGTTTGGCTTAACTAAAACGCAGCCTTTCAAATCCAAAACAGAGAGCTTAGGTACCCAACATTCTATAGAATGTGTTATTTCCTCAAGAGATTGCTAGGAACAGTTATGTAGATCTACCAGGTGCAGGGAAGCACTCTACATCCTCACCCAGGTCCTGTATCCCTGCAAGACTGCATTGGAAAGACTGAAGAGGTAAGAATATAACTATTTCATTTCGAATGCTGGGTCACATTTCACGTTTCCGTGCTCTTTCTTTGAAGTAATTTTTAATTTAAAATCTTAGGCTCTTGGATTATTCGGGTTTGTATGGTTAAATGAAACTATCATTGACCTTAGGTGTATTTATTTCTTCTTGGTATCAGAGCTAGTATGATGGAGGCACAAACCTGTTTTGTGTTTTTCTTTACTTATTAAGCACCTACCTACCACGTACAGGGTAACTGTTCTAGGGGCTATAGATGTTGTATTTCAGGTTTGTCTACTCAGTTTTCTTTTTCTGGGTCACTTTGCATCTTTATCGCTGGGCTTCGTAAAAGACTAATAATAATCCGCTTCATCTGTATAGTGCTTTACAGCTTACAGAGCACTTTTACAAAAATTATCTCATGTGATCCTCCCACATAAACCTCAGTTAAGCACATGGCGTGGGAAGCATCATGTCTGAGTGCAAAGAACCTGGACCATGAATACAGATCAACCTGGGTACCCATTTTATAGCTGAAGAAGCTGAGCCGCTAACTGTTTAGGGTCACGAACAGTTATTCTTCTTACTACTACCTGTAAGTAGTAAGCCAGTGCTCATTTCACATGTTTGTGGACTATCTGAGAAACAGCATGCTATATATACATATAAAGTGTGCTTCCTTGACTTACAGAAAGCGTACAACCCCAGAACCCACTCATATTCAGGTTTCCCCAGAGGACATGAGGATAAGAATCTCTCAGTTCTCTGTGAAGTATTAGTAATTAGATAATACCACAAGTGTTTAATTGTTCACAATTAATTCCTGTGGGAATGAGGAAATTACTATCCTAACATCAGCAGCGGGAGATGCTTAGACCAAAGACAGATTCCATTTGGTTTTATATGATCCTCAGAATTTTATTTCTCGGATTATTGCTGATGTCCAGAGAATAACTCTCCCTCCAACCTCAGCCATTCCCTTTGCTGCACACATATACCATTCAGCATATTTTTAATTTTAAAAATAGGTAATTAGAGTATTTTATATACTCTCTAAAATGAACAACAGCAGAACCTACATTAAGTTGCTTTTTTACTGCTTGTAACTCCTAGATCTCGAGGGCAATTCATTATATCAATGAGATTCCCCAGCTCTGACTTACAGAATGTGGGCTCTGATTAGGTAAACTGAATTCCCCTATTTGTTCCCTTTTAATACTTTACTTAAATATAAAATTACTTTGATTATTTAAATATGTATGCACTGGCACTCTACTATGTTTAATATATTGATTTAGACATGAAGACAGGTTGAGATGTCACGAGCTTGGAATCTTGAAATCTTGAAAGTTCTGGAATGTTTTCTCAAAACAGTTTACATTAGAGTTAGCTGGGGTGCTTGTTAAAAATTCAGTTATCCATCTTACTTTTACTAACTCAGACTCTTCAGCCGTTTGCATTGATAGCTACTCCCCAGGTGATTTTTCTGTGTACAAAGTGTTGGTCTTATACAGAATCCATATGTGCCAGTTAATTCTAAGAACTTACTTTCTTAAAGCCCAGATATCTCACGTTTATAAATTCAACTTTTTTTTTATGTTTACTAGTTTTTTTGTATTTCTGTCAAAGGGTATAAAAACTATGAAAATTACTCTTCCTTATGAATACTACTCTAATGGGAAGAAAATAGGCGAAAATATGTGGTTCATAACCTAAATGAAACTAAATATCCGGTGAATTAGTCATTTTATTATTATTATTACTATTATTATTATTATTATTATTATTTGAGATGGAGTGCCACTCTGTTGCCCAGACTGGAGTGCAGTGGTGCAATCTTGGCTCACAGGAACTTCTGCCTCCCAGGTTCAAGTGATTCTCATGCCCCAGCCTCATGAGTAGCTGGGATTACAGGTGAGCGCCACCATGCCCAGCTACTTTTTTTTTGTATTTTTGGTAGAGACAGGGTTTTACCATGTTGGCCAGGCTGGTCTCCAACTCCTGACCTCAAGTGATTTGCCAGCCTCAGCTTCCCAAAGTGCTGGGATTATAGGCGTGAGCCAATGCGTGCAGTGAATTAGGCATTTTAGGGAGAATGGTAGGTCACTAGAAATTTTGGATTTCTGCACTAAGTGTTTCTGTTATAACTCACAATCCAACTTAGTGGTGAATATGATTTAGAAGAATGTCTGGTTTTGGCTAATAGATGACTTCTTTTTTTTCCCAGTTTGTATCTGGCATTAATGAGGGAAGGTGCTGATCAATTTTTTTATGTATCTAAAAGACGAGCCCTCTATTCAGCATTTCCGTAACTCATATTTGTGCACATCTCTCAGACCTACCAGAGTGGTGGTTCTCTTTTTTTTTTTTTTTTTTGAGACGGAGTCTCGCTCTGTCGCCCAGGCTGGAGTGCAGTGGCCGGATCTCAGCTCACTGCAAGCTCCGCCTCCCGGGTTCACGCCATTCTCCTGCCTCAGCCTCCCGAGTAGCTGGGACTACAGGCGCCCGCCACCTCGCCTGGCTAGTTTTTTGTATTTTTTAGTAGAGACGGGGTTTCACCGTGTTAGCCAGGATAGTCTCGATCTCCTGACCTTGTGATCCACCCGTCTCGGCCTCCCAAAGTGCTGGGATTACAGGCTTGAGCCACCGCGCCCGGCCTCAGAGTGGTGGTTCTCAAATGTTGTGCACAAGAATTACCCAAGATGCTTTTTAAAGAGCAGATTTCTGGGTTTAATCCCTAGAATTTCTGAATCAATAAGTCTGAGGCAAAGGTTAGGAATCTTCATTTTTACATTCATACCTTCTCCCCCAGTACTCAGGTACTTTGGGAAAACATTAGTAGACTGTAAACTCCTTTTAGGGGACAAAGTTGTCTTATTACCCCAAAGATCAAGGATGGCCCACTGCCCACAGGTCATCAGTTTCAATATTTGTTAACTAAATTCACCAGTCAGTAGGCAAGAGTTAAATCAGACAATATAACAAAGCTCTTCCCACCTTGAGACTTTTAAATTTTTTTAGTGGAATTTTTTTTACTTGATTATTCTAGAAAATGCTTAAGATTAGATGAGTTCTAAAAGATAATAGCTTGTCTTCAAGTAAGGTTCTGGAAAATGAAATGATACGGATTTTAAACAAACGAATGGGAGATTTATTGGCCTATGCCAGCTTGTGAGAAGAGTGTTTGCCAGATGTTTTTGACATTCCCATCAGAAAATTTTTTGCCCAATTTTGTGTCCCATTTTGTTATTTTGTAGATTTCATGAAAAAATTAGTTTTCTTCTTTATAATTTTAGGGATAAGAGATGTCATAAGAAGAAATACAGGTTTTGTGTACTTTTAAGTGAAGGGATTTTCATGAAGGAGCAGATTAAGGTTTATAGGTAATTGAATTGAGCTCTTAAGTTATTGAAGTCCATTATGTGGTCACGGTTGACAACATAATTTGTTGAGTGTTCTTTGATGGTTCAAGAACCCCAAAGAGGGTGTGCTTTGTGATTTTTTTTTTTTCAATTTAGGATAGCTAGAGAATCCCACAGGGATGCCTTTGGCTTGAATAGAGTGGAAAGTTGGAGGGGGCCAGGACTAGTGCTTTCACATTGACAATAAAATGGACCAAGAGCTGAAATTGAGGTCGGAAGCTTGGCTTAATATGAAAGCGTTACCTAAAGTCATGGGTTCCAACTGGAATTTTCTTGGAAAACTTTTCATTAGAAACTAAGATTCTTACTTGTTTTGATGGGAATAATAGTCCTTTTCAACCTACCTGGGCTGGAGTTGACAGATAAGATTAGCAGGAACATATTTGTAAAATATTTATTTAATACTTATTATATCCTCCAGAAGACAGGAGCTTTCCTGACACAAAGGTTACTTGCATTATTTATCATATTTTCTATCTTCATAGAGCCTTTCACACATGCAGCTCAAACACATTTTAGACTTTATCTCATTAGTCTTCTGTAAGCTTCAAGGTCCAAAGTCTTATTACTGCCTTGCTTTTTACAGATAGAACTATTTTTGTTTGTTCCTGTCAGTTATATTTGTGAAAGCAAAAAGTAGGTGAATTTTATGTGAATCCAGTTAAAACCAATTGAATTGGCTATAATAAGTATAATTGGGGGAGGAGAGGCTATCAATTAGTTCAAATTTAGAAGTGCGTTGAGAGTGTTTGGCCAGACTAGACTGAATTAATTTTGTGACCTGTCTGCATTCTCTAAAGTACATGTGGTTTGAGGTGTTCCCAAAGTCTGCCAAGTACCAAGATCGAGGCGTTCCAGTCTTATAACATGGTTCTTTAGATGAGCTGACATTTAGGCATGTTATCTATTCTCCAAAGGCCTGCAAAGCCCTGACCTCTGTGGCAGAGAAAAACATTTTTATGAAATTCCTATGTGTGTGATGGAGCACATCTATAAAACTAAAAGAGGACAATTCAGTGAGAGATACATTTTCAACCAGGCACCTATCTCGTAGGACTTTTACCTAGAATCATTTAGAAGTTGAAGTAAAAAGAAATGAACTGTATCGATTTTCCTCTCAAGTAGTCCCTGAAGTCCACTGTCTTTCCCCCGGCCATTGTAGTCATTGGAGAGGTCTAAGAGGAAAGAACTCTGAATTAGTTACATCCAATATAAATGAAAAACAGCATTGTTTCTAATGACTACAGAGATGACATATACAGGTCTTAATAAAAACACTGAAAGCAATGGCTTAACCATGACTCTGAAATTAATGAGGTCGATGCCCAAAGGCAAAGCTACTCGGGAGGCTGAGGCAGGAGAATGGCGTGAACCCGGGAGGCGGAGCTTGCAGTGAGCTGAGATCCGGCCACTGCACTCCAGCCTGGGTGAGGGAGCGAGACTCCGTCTCAAAAAAAAAAAAAAAAAAAAAAAAAAAAAAAAAATCAGTGGTGGGATTGAGAGGTGGAGTGAATGAGGCAATGAAAGAAGAAGGGTAGATTTGGAGATTGGTCACTTTGATCATTCTTTTTTTGATTCTGTAACCT